GGTGGCGTCTGTTGCGGATGGACACCCTGCCACTGCCACTCAACCTGACGGCATACTGCCTGTGAGGGCGGGCTTCCACCACTATGCCTGTCCTGTCCCAGAGCTTGGTAGCTGCGTCCTGCACACGCACCTGCGTGCCCACGACTAGGGGAGCCAGCTGGCGGGATACCTCCCTCCGCGACAGGACCCCATCCTGTGTTTCGGCCAAGCGCACCTCCCTCATACGAAGTGCCCGCCGCCAGTGCTGGTCCACCTTATAGTGCTGTCTGGCCACGGAACGCCGTCACGGAGCTGGCGGCCGGTGGCAAGTTGGGCGGGCGACTTGTTCACCCCCCCGCAGAGGCGTGTTCAGGTACTGGAGGAGGGCCTGGGATGTCCTATCGCAGTCCAGGCTACCCCCAGGCCCAGTGTTATCCCTGAGGAGCCTCTTGGCGGCCTTGACCCCAGCCTCTGCCCTGCCATTGGATTGGGGGAAGTGGGCCGACGAGAGGCGCACCTCGACCCCCCATGACTTGAGGAAATCTGTCATCTCAAGGCTGGCAAGGTTGGTACCTCCATCCGTGGAGATCTGCTCAGGTACCCCCCACCTCGTGAAGTAGGCCAGCAGACTGGCGATGATTTTTTCCAGAGGTGGCCTCGTTGGGGAAGTGGGCGATCTCCAGCCAACCTGTCAGTCGGTCAGCATATGCTAGGTACGTGCGGCCCTGCAGGTGGAACAAATCGGCCACCACTTGTTGAAAGGGATAATCTGGCGCTGGGGTCAGAACCAATGACTCCGGAATACACTACTTTGACCAGCGGGCTGAATTGCAGGAGCTCCGCCTGAGCATTGAGTCGAGGCCGTGGTGCCCCACATGCAGGTTAACGGCGACCCGGTGGCGGAGGGAGTCGGGGATGACAAGGCGCACGCAGCCCTGGTCAAAGGTGTAGGTGACCAAACCCCTGACCACAGCCAACCTGTCCCTCACCGAGAAGTACGGGCGCAGACAGGCCACCTCCAGCGACTTGTGGGGGTGCCAGTCGCCCGCCAGCACCCTCGACACTAGAATCTGGTACACTGGGTCGTCCGCAGCCGCTTTGCACACTGTGTCTTCGTCCATAGTGATGCACCCATCCTGATCCAGTGTTGCGATTGTGACTGCACACACTGCAGCGCACAGGTCCTCCTCTTGGTCCATGTCCTCCGCATCAGGCGCCGCCCTGAGGGAGGGGAAGCGGGATAGGGCGTCAGCTGCACAGTTCCGCTTCCCTGGCAAGTATTTGACCGTGAATCGGTACTGCAGGGTCTTCTCCTTGAGCCTGAACAGGCGCGGATTCGCCACATCCGTGAAGGCTCTGTCCCCTAGCAAGCCAACTAAGGGGCGGTGGTCCGTCATCAGAATGAGGTTCGGGCAGCCAAGGAGGAACAGCCTGGCCTTGCGCAGGCACCACACCACAGCCAGGGCCTCCCCTTCTACTGCAGCATAACCGGCCTCGGCCGTGCTCAGATGTCGGCTACCACACAGAGCCAACCGCCACCCTCCTCTGCAGCAGAAGGGCGTCTCTGGAGAGGCACAGGCACAGTATTGTTGCAGGACGACGAAGCCGATGCCCTCCCTGCTCCAATCAGTGACAGCTGCCGTAGGCCTGGATTTATCGTAGTACATCAAGCCGTCTCTGGCCTTTGTCGTAGTACACAAGCCGTCTCTGGCCAACTGACAGATGGTGTCCTGGGCCTGGCGAAACTTGAGCCACAGCTGGTCGTCCCAATACACCCGCTTGCCCACTGGCTTCTTGAGGAGCTCACGGAAGGGCTCCATCACAGGTGCAGTGGCAAGGAAGGGAGCCAACTGATTAACCAGGCCATGCCAGGACCTGATGTCAGTGATTGATGGCTGATCCGGCATGGGGAAGTCCTTGATGGCTGACAGACGTTGGGCAGTGGGCTGGTACAGGTCCCACCCCAGGAGGAAACCCACAAACTCAGCTTCTCTCCTGCAGAACAAGAACTTTTCTGGTTTCAGCGTGATACCTGTGCGAGCGCAGGTCTCCAGAAAATCGTAAGTGTGCCAGAACGCCCCCTTCACACTGGAGTCATAGAGGAGAGTGTCATCCACGCACTTGTACTTGCGGGGCACATCCTGAATAGCGTCGTCAAACCTCTTGGTGTAAGCATCTGACGCTGAGCAATGTCCCATGGGCGCCCTGCAGTATCGAAAACGTCCCCACGGCGTGATGAATGTGGTCAGGCGTCTACTCTCCTCCTCCAACTCCACCTGATGAAATCCCCAAAAGGCGTCGGCGACGGTTTTGAACGAGTGCACTGGCACCCCAGACACCATGTCGAATGGTGCAGGTGTGTGGTGCGTCTCCCTCAGACAGCTTGCATTGAGGCGTTGGAAGTCCACAGTGCGCCTGGGCTGACCGTTTTTCTTGGCCACCACGACCATCCTGGCGCACCACTCCGTAGCCTCACCAGCAGGCACTGGCTGGATGACGCCTCTCCTGACGTCCTCCTCCAACTGGGCCTTCACCTCCGCTTCCCAGTGTTTCGGAACGGGAGCGGGTGTGTGACAGGCGTAGGGGGTCGTGCCGGGCGTCAGGTGGATACGGTGAGGGGGACCAGTCATGACTGGCAGTGGGGACCTGCTGGTGTTGAATGCGGTAGACGAAAAGTGCGTGAGTAGCCATGCCTCCAGCCTGGCCACATTCTCCTCCAAAGGAGGCAAGGGTATCTCAACTGGCCTCGGCGGGAAACGGCTGCTCTCAGGTAAACGGTTCGGAGGTAGATCGTCGGCAGTGTGCCGCTCCCCTCCATCGCCCACGGCAGCCACAGCACGTCTATGGAGCGGGAAGTCGACAGGCACCAAGTTGAGGCACTTGCAGGCCTCCAATGACAGATAGAGGGCCTTGGCTGTCTGCACGAAGTAGACCTCCTGGACGGTGGACCCCTCGTCCACACCGAGGCGGCAGGGGGCGGACCCCAGACACTTGAGCTGTTTGTTCGCCACGTCCCTTAAGCCATTACGGGCCCGAAGTTGCCCCGGACACAAACCGATGTCCCGGAGCAGGGATGCGCCTGCCACACACACCATAGCACCCGTGTCGGCTACAGCCAGCACAGGGGTGGCGGGGGAATTGCCCCCGGCCTGGGACACGAACACTTGTAACCTGGGGTGGCGGGATAGCTGGGCTGTTGCCACTGTAACAGCGCCTGACACATCCACAGGAGCACTTAGGGCTGACTTACTCCTACAACACCTTTTGAAGTGACCAACCTTACAGCAATTGCGACATGTAGCCCCACTTGCAGGGCAGTTACTTTTACCAGAGGCATGTGACACGCCGCAGTTACCACAGTACACGCGACTGGGGTGTCGAGGTCGGGCGGCAGCTACCTCAGACTCACCGGTGACGTCATCACCAACCGCCACTGCCTCCTCGGCTGTTCCCACCACTGCCTGGCCAGACGTACGACACAATACACCAGCATCTCTCACTGCTGCCTCAAATAACATGCATTTGTTTCTAAGCACTTCAACACTATTATAACTAGAGTACCCCTGGAAAATTTCCCTTTTCAACACTGGGTTACTCAGGCCCACCATAACTTTACGTAATAGCATGTACTCAGAGAGGTCGTTATCACAGGTGGGACATTTTCATTCACACTCCACTGCCTCTGAGAAGCATCGTTGAAAATACTTTTCATGGGCTCCTCTTCACCTTGTTTGCTGTTGAAAAACTCGTTCCATTTCACAGCTTGGTTTGAAGATTGAAGAACCATTCCACTGATGGCGTCCAGGGCTTCTTTGGGCGAGAGCTGCTCCCACTGACCGCTGGGGTATCTCGAGTCAATCACCCTTTGGAGTGCGGGGACGCAGTTCAGGCGAATGTGGAGTGTGGCCACCAGTTGTGGCCACCCGTTCAACAGCACCCATGACTCCATGGACCGCCTCCATGTCCTAAATGCAGCTGCTGGCATTTCTGCCTCACACTTCTCTGGAGCGACAGCTGCTGAGGGCTTCATGACCGGCATAGAAGCATGACCACCGCCAGCACCTAGAGACGCCATCTGAGCCATCAATGCACTCATGGCCTGCTGCTGGTCGC